AATGTACCTATCTAAAAATTTCGTATTTTGTGTAAAAATAAAATAAACAAAATATTTTGATTCGTTGGTTTTTGAAATTTATTTATACTGAAAATTCAAATTATTTTCAATATAATTATTACAAAATAAAATTAATTTTTATTTCGTGATATTTGTCAGATTTTGTGCATTTATTACAAGTCTGCAAATTTTTAATACATGAAGGAATATATAAATAGGTATAGGTATTAAGTATCTACATTAATATGTTTGATTATAAAATGTTAAATAAATTTTCATGACATTTAAAATCAAAAGGGTTAAAAAAAAAGTAGTAAAATAGGTCATCTTCCGGAAGTGACAAGGTCGCCGTGCAGACACGTCTGTTAAATCTGTCCATGGAAATAATTTCATACCGTGAGTATATCTCGGATAATGAAGGGCGGAAACGGTTGCGGCACAGCGGCATAATATTTTACGTTTCAGTTGCGGAACAATAGACAATAACACCACTGTTGTCTGTTCGTCATCAAAGGGTTGAAACGGAAAGGAATATCATGGTCGCGAATCGATGTTTTATTGTCGTATAAGTATAACGTAACGTACAGTACCTACCTTAAAATACTATAATTCAATAATAAAATATGTTGTATATTATTACGTGTTTACTGACAGCCGCGCTTACCGAAATTCCTATACTATGATGTAGTGATATCAGTGTCGATATTGACAGACGTAAGAAAAGACAATACACTCCTTCATACTTATATCTACACATATACAGAGTGATCCATTTAACGTAAGATACTCATTGTATCAGAAAACACTAATCTTTAGAAAATATTAAATATTTCTTTTAGATAATTGTAAGTCGTTAAAATTTTAGTAAAAAATATAATTTTTTAAATTTTTATTGTTATTATTTCTTGAGTAATAAATTATTATTATAAATTATTTAAAGTATTTTAAATTATATAAATTAAATTTCTTACAAGCAATATAATAAAAAAAATTATATAAAATTATAAATAAATATATTAAATTATAATAAATTTATAAAATGCAAAGTTTAGATGAGTGGTGTATTATGAATAATCATTTTAACCCCGTACCTCTCCACTACTCAACTTATTTTAAATTTAAAGTTTAAATAATTATAGCTCTAAACTACTTGTCCAAAATTAAATTTGTATAGGTACATCGAAGTACTCCAAAAATTTAAAAAAATATTACGATAAGTATTATTAATATACATATTTTTTTTTAAGACTTAAAATTATGAGAAAAAAAATATTTTCCTAAATGTATTAATTTTTGAAATAACGAGTGTCTTGACTTAAATAGATCACCCGGTATAATAATTATTATAATTTAGGGACATGCCGGAAGACGTACACTATACAGTGAACAGGTGACCGCACTGCGACTACCTTACATACATTATAATACCTGACAGATATATACCTAAAACACACACATACACTCATGCCATGTATATATATATATATAATACCTACGTAAGTTATCGTTCGTTTAACGATGTTGTATCAACTCCCCCTTTCCCTCTCAACCAGGTTCACTCGGTCATAAATAGTATACTACACTAACGCTGCCACTACTACTACTATACGGTATATACTATATAGGTACTATAACTACACTATACCAGAAACCTACTATATACTACTAAAACTATAGCTGTCGGTCCGGTTCCCACGGCCGTCGACGGTCGCCCGCCAGTAATCAGTATATCTATACAATATATACCTATGCACACACGCACACAATCCAACATATGCGTCGGAATTATAATATAATATAATAGACATCCCTCGAAGTAATTAACCTATCGCCCCTTTGTATGCCCGCTACCTATGTAGAGGTACATGTATTATCGGATATTATTACTATACATATGTATCGTCGGCTTATACGGTATCCGGACCCAACGCACACACACACACACACACACACACATGATTGAGTCACCGGTTGACCGACCGACGACGGAAACGCAATTATACACGCGGCGTTATCTGAGGGAAGAGCTGTGGACCGGAAACTCAGCCGCGGATCTCTCACGTTGACTCCGCACCGGAACGTGCGCTTCGGCCGCCGTCACCTCCTCCCCACGTGTTAATGTCTATCATAGGTAGACAGGGTTGGACATCTGTTGTACCTGCACCACGCCCGCAGATACTATAATAAGCGATGGCATTTCGTTAGAAATTACGGCGGGGTGCGGGTGGAATTGTTGGATATTGCGCGAGACCGTTACGAAATTCATATTTTTGAAAAACCGTTTTTTCCCCCAAAAAACTAGATGATACGTAATGTGTAACAGTAGCTAAAACAGTAAAAACGAAATAGGAAATACACTATACACGTTGTAATATATTTAATTCATATAACTATATTAATTTAAAAAATACGTATAGGTACATACATTTTCACGCTAACAGCCGCACAGTGGTGAAAGTGGCAATGTGTTTAATAGTGTTTGTTTATTGAATTATGACCTCAAAAAATTAAAAGCATAAAAATACCGGATAAATTATTATAAATTATTTTATTCTAAAAATATGTTAACTTATAAATGTATAATGGATAAATGTTCAATACGGTTGATAATTACTACATTTAGACAGTTATTAAAACAACGAATGTCTTAAACCTCTTTATCAAAACAACAAAAATCAAAAATAGAAAAAAAGCATATTTATCTTTAGATAACCAAACGTTTACATTGTATTAAATGTCCAAAATCGATTAACAGCGGGAATAACGTTTAGGTATAATACCCGCATACACATACCACACACACGTTCCTCTGCCTTCATGCGCAACGAAAACATGACATAAAAATCAGTCAATCCGTTCACGACATATTATCTACACATAGCAATGAGGTGACAATGAAGCTTATATATTGTATAAGTGTACATATGATATGTGGCGCCAAAATATTACGGTTAGCGACGAATAAAAATTATGCCATTGCTGTGTAGTGTGTACCTATATTATGATCTTTTCCCGTTATATTTTGTGTATTTTATATATTTTAATAAAAGTGCCTATACAAAAAGGGGCGAAAGAAAATATACAAAAGACGAACAAAACATAATATATGCCCTGGGCATAACAATATATGTTTTGTTCGTCTCGGGGTCCCACAGTAGGCGGGTTGCTATATTTTGCAATTATTAAACCCTCGCGCGACAGAGTGGTTTTTTGGCTCGTCGTCGTCATCGTGCGTTGTAAGAACTACTTTAATGCGTACACATAGTATTATGGTGTATAGGTACGCCATCATTAAACGTACCCTTTGAATCTTGCTTGCTGTGTAACAATAATAATAATAATAATAATACGACAAAAAGTCACAGCTCTTTTATAATATTATATACATATATACACTGTTAACACAAAGGCGTGTAAAGTACAGTTAAACCAAAATAATACTGAAAATGCTTTTGTCTGAAACGTAGAACGAATGATTCAAAAACAAAAAAACAAAAAAATAGTCAAAACACGAATTTAACTTTTAATTGAATGATTATATTACAGAAATAAAACTTTATGTATTGTCTAAAGAGCAATAATATAAGGAAAACATTTTTATTTTTAATTAATTAACAAGAATTAGACACTTAAACGTCTTTAACCTACTTTTTGTTTAAAAACGTAGATTTATTTTTAATATTTATTTGTTCGTGTTATTTCGACGAATGTTGAGTAATTAAAAATGTTTAAAATTTGGGAACATATATATTACAGTTCAAAATTTTAATATTTAAAATTATCTAGTTATAAAATAAATAAATGCGTCTGATAGACGGATTATTTATTTATACTCTATAGGTACTATGGAATATTTATAGAATCTGTAGAATAAAATAATTTTTGCTCTATTATATGTGCATAAGTAAGATATTATTCATCCACAAACAACATGTTTTTATGTTTTAAATATAGATTTTAATAAAATATAATATCAAACAACATAATAAACCATAATTTTTGAGCCATTTGACTAAATATAGCAGGTTTGTTTCATCGAGACTTGGAAGACATCGCGGAAGTTTCGTTTTTATCTCAAATTTCGAGATTAGGGTGTTTCAAGGCTTCGAATTTAACCGATTGAATAATAATTCTGTATAATATATGACTTATTAGCGTAGTATAAATCATGACATTAATGAATATATTGATTTTGTAATGTATTTACGCTTATATATTTCGTATGGATCACAATAATAAAAACCTTTTACCAAGGAAAAAATAAACTAAAAGTTTGAACACACACACAAAAGTAAAATCAGGTGTATGATATAGAGTTATATATGTATATAATACTAATGAAAAACATAAAAGAGGTTCCCCGGTCAAAATAAAGTGCACGAATTGGTTTCCCGATAAAAATTATTTATCACTATTCGAATTGGATGTCATACGATAGCCTTAAGATTTGATGATTATCATTTTCCACTCAAAATATGGACAGAGTTTTCATCTACCGATTTCAGAACAAACAACATATTGTTGAGAATCGTTTGATGAAGAACTTAATTTAGAATTTTTCTACACCCGTCCAAATATTTTTCTATTAACTGAAAAACTTACTCAAACAATAAAAATTACTTATTGTAAATGTATACCAAATACATTTTTACGTTTATTACTTGTAATAATGGGCTATTTTAATATTATTAATACACAAATGCGTATACCGACTTTGCGTGGTCCAAATAAATTGTACGTGTCCTGTACGCATTTCGAATTGTAAAAGCTGTGAGTTCGTGTTACCCGCGTAAACCATATACAAACGGTTAGATCAAAAATAATATGAATGGTGCATATCATTACGTATGGGGTGGGCGGGTGCGCACGTATTATTATCACTCATTGGAGTATAGTATATAGGCATAGGATAAATTATTATGCGCAAGATACGCGCGCATAATGGTAAATATATATAGTAGTTATCGTAGCGATTGTGCGGCACAATCGTGGCGATTGTTGCACGCGTGCACAACGTGGGAACTCGCGCAACCGTGCGCCCCGTGCCATTATGTTTTGAAATAACCGAGCAGTATGGACCGGTTCGCTTTTGTCGGTGTTTTAGATCATTGCGCGCGTAACAGGCCTAAGATAAACGATTTTTTCGAATTTGGATTTTCCAACGAAACACTAACGGACACGTGAAACACGTCGTGGAGTCGTCCGATAGAAATTTTCCGATGTATATTTATGTGCGATATCGTCGTGCCGTAGTTGTACAAGTTATGCCACTTGTCAGACGAAAATATAGGTAAAATAACATTATGTCATCGACGAACAATGACTCAGAAGACGACGATCCAAGGGTGCATTCGTCCGGGATGTCTTCCTCTGGTCAACCCAGACGTTACGAGCTTTCGAAATCCGAATTGCGAAAGGTAAATACCACGTCTAAATTTAAGTGGACTTAAAAATTTGAGTTGTTTATTAATAATTTTTTTCGTAAGAATATAGTATTTCGCTGATCGACTTTTGCTAATTATTATTTTTTTTAAATTTAATTTAAAATAACTATGATATTTAAATTAATGTATGATAATATATTTTTAACAGATGCGTACACAAATATAAAAATCCAAGGAGGGTTCTTAAAAAAATTTACAATTATCAGATACCTAACATACATTTTTTTTATTTTTGGTAGAAGGAACAAATTCCCAAGCCACTCCCGCTGTGTATGTCTGATTTTTGAATACATTTTACAAGGTTCATTGGGTGTGAAATAGTTTTTTTGTTTCTCCTAAGAGTTGTTTAATGTTTGTTTATAATTATATTTTGATTAATATGACCATTCAATTTTTATAATACTGCAAATTAATATCTAGTGATATTTTCGAAAATTTCAAGATTTCTATAAAATGTTAATTAATTAAACTTGTTGAACACTTTATTTTGATCATATTGCTAAAAGACATTAAAAATAAAATTTAACTGAAAAATATTTTTTTTATTCGCAATTATTTAAATTAATATTTAATGTTACATCAATATTAAATTTAGTACATTCTCTATTTTAGAATAATAAGCCAATTATGGAAAAAAAAAGGAGAGCCAGAATCAATCAGTGTTTGAATGAATTGAAAACACTTATATTGGACGCATTGAAAAAAGACGTAAGTTAACTATAATTTTTATAATAAAATAAAAAAAAAATATATAATATTTTATCAATATAAAAACAAACATATACAATTATAGTAATGACAATAATAGAGATTACTATAATATATATTAGTATAATATTAAATGGTAATAATATACTGTTTCTGTTTTAGTACTTAGAAAATTATATATAATATGATGAATTCTTGATCTCAGAAATATTAATAACAATTTAAATCTTATTAATTGCCATGTATCAATTATATATTTTTTTTTTTTTTAATTTTATCACTTATAGTAATTTTTGTCTTATTTTAGTCCCATATATCGTATTTTTAACCGACAACATATCTGCTTTATTTTTATCATTTTCGTTAATAGTCATAACAAATTGCGAAGTTTTTATCGTTTTAAATTCATAAAATGTTTTTTTTTTGTGCTTTATATTTAATATTTGTCAATCAGCTGTTATGAGAATTTCGTTAGTTTTATATTTCAAAATCTAAGAAAATAATGATATGTATTGATATGCATATTTATAACGAATAATTAATAATATATAAATTTTAACCATTTATTAATAACTGTGTATAATACTTTTTAAGCAGAATAAAAAATATTGATTTGTTGAATATAAACAGGTATAAAACAGAAAAACAATTGTGTAATAATATTCTATTAAAAACATAACCACGATCTTAAAAATATGTTATTTGATTTCAAGGATTATACGCTGTTTTGATTATAATATTGTGCAGTATAAACATTCAATTGTCGACATTATACCATTATTGTATTGTTGCTTTTGCAATATCTCTGATTTTTTTTTTTATATAATATATAAGTATATTCTTGTTATTTCTACTAAATTTGGTATCATCGGATAGTATCGTAATATTCTTGCTGTCAATTTGTATTTCATAATGTGACAAGTAGAAGGTTCAATTTGTTAAGGGAAAGACATGGCTTATAGATTTAATCATTAAAGAATAGAAATTTTACTGTATATAGTAAGATATGGAATATATTTATGTTTAAAATGCATCGGTCTGTACAGTTTTAATATTCAATACATGCGACTTATTAATATTTATATATTATGTAATTTTGATGAAATGAAAAAAATGAAACACAAATTATGTAACATGGATACAGTTAGATAAAATAATCTCTAAAATATTTATCACGTTTCGGGTACTCTGTAGACTATAGTACAGATATATATTTAAATGTTTTCTCATTGTACCTGCGAAAATACCTAGATTAAAGCTATACAAATGGACAATATTTAAGGATAATAATCCTTAAAAATAGTTTTACTAACATATAAAGTAAATATAATATTTGATCTATAGTATTATTATACTTGAACATAAATATAACAAATAGGTACTTAAACATAATAAAAATGAACTGTATTGGAATGTATTAAAAGGCCGTAAAATTATTTTTTAAAGTCTAAATGGGGCGGCTGAGCCCAATCACGAACCATATAGACACTGGTTGTACGCATACACTATTATATTATTTTACCTACGCGAGCATAATGGTAAACACCTATTTTGAAAATATTATTATGTGATATAATTATAGCCAGCAAGACATACAAAGTTAGAAAAAGCGGACATCCTGGAAATGACCGTGCGGCACCTGCAGTCGTTGCACCGGAGTGGCAGTGGCAGCCGACCGTTAGCTCCGGCCGTCTGTCCAACGGTCGAATCACCGCTGTCGCCTTCGTCATCGACCGCGGCCTTAACGGCGGTGGTCGTGCAAAAGTTTCAGACGGGTTACCAGGAATGCGCCGGCGAGGTGAATCGGTTCGTAGACCGATTGGACGGGGTGGACGAAGAGATCAAAAAGAGGCTGATGTCACATCTGGACTCGTGCGTGGCCAAAATGAGGTACGTCGCCGCGGCCGCAGGCACGACGCCTCCGCCACCGCCGCCGCGACCACTCGCGAACAATAATAATTACTCGTTGCACCATCGGCTCGACCTACAAGCGGCGGCGGCGGCGGCCACGGCATTAGCCGCGACCGCGTCGGTGCCGATTTCGAGCGGCCGACCAGTTTTGCAGCAGCAATCGCTGATCGGAGAATTGACGCCCCCGACCGTCCCGCCGCCCATCCCGCCGCTGCCGCTGCCGAAAGTCGGCCGTTTCCGGACGAGCGCGTTCACGGCGGTACACGGTCAGCTTCCGTCACCGGATGTCGGTTCGACGCCTTTCGTGTACTGCGACGAACCGGACGTGTCGTCGACCAGCTCGTGGGCCGAAGACATGGCAGCCGCGTCCGCTGTCCAGCACCCACCGCTCGATTTTTCGATGAAAAAAACTGTGGCCGGATGCAGCAACAAGAGGCCCCTGGGCGACATACCAGTAAACGTTCCTACGGCCAACGCGTCGTCCTCGCACAAGCAATCGGCGGCGGCAGCGACGGCGGCAGCGTCGTCAAACGGTGACGGGCCAACGGCCGCGCGCGTTCGCAGGCCCGAAGCCGTGGCCGCCGCGGTCAGACCGTGCGACGGTCCAGACTCCGACCCCAACATGTGGAGGCCCTGGTGACGTCGTCCGTCCGCGTCGTATCGCCGATAGTATGCGCAGCAGCTGTAGTGTAGTTAGTGATATTTTCAGTCACTTTTCGGCAGTGTTGGGTATACATATAGTTACCCCGCATTACGCGCAACACTGCGTCGTCATGCATTTCGTACAAAGTACGTACTATCGTTGTATAGGAATTGTACCTCTATACACATATCGAAGTTGTACATTATAATATGTACTCTCTTAATGATACACGGTGACTTCGCGAATTATTCCGTTATATAATATAGTTTATAACATAAAACCAGAAAAACGTATGTGATATCTCGTATTTAAATTTAAAATGTTTACATAATATATGGCTTTTGTAAAAGAAAAAAACACTTTCGCGATTCCAGATTTCCCTAATTTTTATACTCTTATTAACTACAGCAGTGGCGATCAATCAATTTTGTCACGGGTGGGGAATGGGGATGAGGGGCTGATCTTTTAACATGCGCATATTGGTCATTAAAAATAGAATTTAAAGATTATATAGATCGATTTATTATTTAAAAACCATAAACTAAAAAGTTAATTAATAGTTAGGTGTACCAAATGTATTTATAATAGTGAAATGCGTTTTTGTTTATTTTTGCCAGTTCATCTACTTAACTTAGAGTTATATTCACTAGTCCACGACAAACAGCCATTGATAAGACTCTTAGATTACCATATTAAATAAACAATTTATTAAACATATTATTTTTTAATGACTATAAAATAAAGAAGAAAAAACTTAAAAAGTTATTCTATTAATGATAAAAATGTTTTATGTCTGAACTGTTTATTTAATAGATATTTTACATAAAAAAATATTTTACTTTAATCTAAAATACATTTTACAAGTACAGTATTTACCTCAACCAAAGTTTAAAATTTTTTTTTATCAAAAATTGTTAAATAATATTCAAATTTTATCAGATTATACAAAAAAAAAACACCATTCAAATTATTTTTTTGATATTATTTTAAACATTGAAATAATATTACGGGGGATATGCATTACTCATCTTTTCTCCATTATTTAACTGGCCCTAACTCATGTAACTTTTAACTTGGTCATCACTCAGAAGTAACTTGCTGATCACCGCTATAATAATAAAGGCGTATACATTATGTTGTTCCTTACGCGAAAAACTGTGTTACTAATTTTAGATCGCTAGAATTATGCATGATAATATTTTTGGATTTCATGTTGAACACTTTGATATGATTATTACACACGTAATATCTTATTGTACACTATTTATATGTTACCAAAGATTTTTATAGTTATATAATACGCTCTTCTTATTTACGACTTTTAATTAAGATACATTGTATTTTATCATATTGTTTTATGCGCGTTCTTTCTTTCGGCACTTTTTTAATACCATATTATAATTTCTATGTACCTGTACTCCTTTCCTTAGATTATATTTCGTATAATATTCTTTTCATTCCACTTTGTTTAATTCCATGTTAAGATTTGTTTATAACTTTGTTAATTTATTATACGGTGTTAGACATTATCTGTCACAAACACCAGTTTAATTTTCCAAACATTATATTTAAAATACTATAATAATTATATTTTACCTATTTGTTCTTTGATGTTCGTTTTATTTTTATACATGTATTTATATTTGTAATTATAGTTATAGATAAGATGATTTTTTTTGTATCGTATTTCATTTGTTTTTAAAATGTTTTTTCTCATAAAAAAATAATAAGTTTGGAATTATATTAATCTGTATTAAGCAAATAATAAGTGAACAGTTAATATTTGTATAATTTCAACGCACAAAAACAAATGAAAGGATAATAAATGAAAACAAGTCTAAAGTTTCAAAATTATTAAATTTATTTTTTATTAATTATACTATGTATGTATATTATATAAGTTATTTATAAAACATACAAATTATATATAATTCAACATATCTATATCAGGCAGTGTAGTTATGATATTGATATAGTGAAGATGTGTCTATAGTTTGTACTAATAAGTAATAAACTAACATTTTCAAATCATTGACTGATCTGTACCGACATTAAAAAAATAATCTGAACAAAATAAGAAATATATATTAATAATCACAGATTACGGAAAATATCTCTAGCTCGCTGAAAAAATATCAAATTGCATTACTATACAAATAAAGCAGTGATATTAATAAAAATCGTAAGTATATATTTTATGAATACATATTAAAAAATTATGGTCATGAACCTTATTATTACATTTTCAAAAACGGTAACTTTCTTATAATAAGTTTTTGAAATAAATCAAAACAGTTGATGTTTTATATTTCTTTTTGGTGCACTTTTCTTTAACGTATAGGCAGGTTTTTTAAATGCTGGTAATTCATTATCCATTCACATTCAATTTTTGATTTCATCAAGTTGACATGGGTCGTAGTAAATAAATTAATGAAAAATTCGAATTGTGCTCGAGTCAAAAAAAAAAAAATAAAAAATAATAATAGTAACAATAAATGAAAATTTGTAAAGCGGTTTTGTACTTAATCTTCTATGACATCCCATAACATTAGAGCTGCATCTGTTCCACCGACTGTCACCACGTTTCTATCGTTGTACAAAAATCTAGCACTCGATACTTGTCCACTATAAACTTTTTCTTCATTGTATTCTGATTTGGTAAAAATACACGGATACCTGAAAATTAAATTAAAATGACTCATTAGGTAATCGTACTCAAATTATATGTATTAGTAGTCGGTATATATCTTAATTTGGATGCAAAATATAATTAAAATTGACTAACAGTTAAAAATTATATTTTAAGACATAAACAATTAACATATATATAAGAGGATATTATACTAGCTGGTAATGTATTTTGATTGTGTACCTAAATAGTCTGAGATACCCATCTGTGTCTCCAGTTATAAAAAGATCATGGGCTGCTGATCTGTTGGCAGTGCTTATCATTGATGAAGATGGATAATATCTATTGTGCCAAATACCTATAATAAAATAAATCAAAAATTATAAACAATCAACATATAAAAATGTACATATTATAATTATATGAAATCAGGAATATATTTTTCATTTATTACTGGTTTAATTTTAAATATTTTTACACCATTATGATAATATAATAATTTTTTTTTAAAAATCCATAAAAATACGTATTTATACTGTTTACAATAATTTACATTGTCAACAAAAATGGTAAATTATACAAAATAACTAAATATTGACTATATAGTAACCGCAGGTATTTAATTGCGTGATTTTCATTGAAAATAATCATAACTCCTTTCACAAAAATTAAGCAGTTACATGTTAAACACAATAGAAATGATTAATCTATCTCGACTGACATGTATTATATTGGATAACTTCAGATACAGTTATTTTGAATAAAAAATAAATGCATTGTTATTAATATAAAATAACATTTTTTTGTCGATTTTTAAATTTATTATTCCATATTATAATAAATAAATATTAAAAATAAAATAATGAAAAAAAAATTAATTAAATAAAGAGAGTAAATTAACACCCAATTATGATAACCAATAAAAAAAGTTATCTTTTATATTAAATAAACATACTCTATATTAAGTCAATATTAATTTATTTTTTATCAATAAAAAAATTTTTAATTATTGGATTGAAAAAAAATTTTCCAATACTTCTTCCAGTGAATAATTAAGTTAATTAAATATATATAATTACCAGAAACTAAGTAGCCGATAGTTGCGTTATATGTATACCATTTAACGTCCTTCATTGCAGATGCACTTTTTTCTTGTATCAATCCTTTGACGTCCCCTAAATTAATAATTATAAATATTTTAGAGTACATAAGACATTTTTATATTTTTTTTAGTTACATACAAAAAACTAGGTCGTATTCGGCAGTTACTGTTTGTAAATAATTTCCATCCGTACTCCAGTCTAAATGCACCAATGGTTGAACTCCTCTAATTTTATTCGATTTTTTGAACGTGAATCCGTCTCTACTTACTCGATAGAGATACACACTGCCGTTTTGAGAACCAACAGCTATTGTATCGCCGGCTAAAATCATTAATGTTTTTTAATATTTTATCAATGTATTAAGGAATTAAATGAATGGATTTATAAAATCGAATAATTACTAATCAAAATAAACATTAATAGGCATGTTGTTAAAAATTTATAATTGTATTATATTGTATTTTATTTTTTACCTGGATTAAAACCCATACACGTCAAGGCAGATCCACATACTCGAACACTTGATACCACAGTCCCGTTTTCAGCATTTAAAATAATCAAATATCCTTCGACTGAACCAGCCACAAGAGCAGTACCAAATGGATGAAAGGTAAGTGATACACATTCATATGCGATCTATAAGACATAAGTTATAGCTGTTTCAAACTTTTTTATGGAATAGGAAATATATAATACAGAATGATTTAATAAGTTTTAAAAAATATTGATACATAAATGATTTAAAAAATAAAAACTACATCGATGTCACTTTAAATTTAAATATACGTTATTGTATGTAAATACTACCTACCCTACATAATACAGAAACAAAGAAATATATAATCATGAAAAAAAATTTAAGAATTTGCTAAGGATACATTTACCCAATCGTATGTATGTTAAATATTATTACTGTCAAAATATAAATGGTAAATGTATGATAAAAATAAAAATTAAATTATATAATTCTTGTGATGTTAGTATTTTTTTTTTAACTAAATGATTTATTGAAAGCTTCACTAGTCCTAAACTATTTTAAATATAAATAAAATATTGTTTTAAAAATGTTCTAAATAATAAAAGATGTTTTCTATGAATAAAATATATTTTATAATTTATAGATAACAGATGTTGGGTTATCAAGTGATTTTTTTGTTATGAATAATACATATAAAGTCAGTTTTTTTAAATTTAAATTATTTGTCACAGGCGACGTATAACGATCATTATAATTTTATTAACAATACAGTTTAAGAAAATACATACTTGGGTACTCCATAGTAAAGCATGTCTTTTCCAAAGACTTATATTTTTATCATAACCAGCGGTGGCAAAAAGTTCGTCGTCCGGATGGACTGCTAATCCCCACAATTGTTTACTATGACCAAATACTATCTGTAATACGTTTGTAAAAGATAGATACATTTTTTCTAAGTCTTACTACTAAAATCTCACTCTATTAAATCTTCTTTGCATTGATCCTTCTAGAATATGATTTTTTATCGTCCCTACATATATGTTACCATCATTTCTCCCTGGCCGTTGAGGATATAGGCTCCTTATACCACCATAAACTTCAGTTAACTGTTGAAATAAATGTAATTAGTGAAATTACCTTTTATATGATTATAAACTTCATACTTTTGTTTCAGTTATCTTGTTGTAATTTTGTAATGAATCCCAAGCTATGATTTTTCGGTCTTTTTCACCCCCGGACAATAGAGTTCCTTCCGGTAGCATTATAAGAGCATTTATGCCTTTGTTATGTGCCTAAAATAACAAAAATAAAAAATATAAAAGAAACACAAGCCAATTTGATTAATATCAACCTCGAATTCCATTCTGACATAATACGCGCCATCGCTGTCCACAGAGTAAATCGTAATAAATCCATCGCCATCCGCTGTAATTACGTCCCCTTCTTGTTCGAACTGTAAACTAGTAACTACCGTTCTTGAAGGCTAATAATAAACACATTTATAATGTAAGCCAATTTATTTGAAAAACAA